AGGGTGGTGGGAACTAGATGATCTTTGAGGTTCCTTCCAACTCAAACCATTCTATGATTCTATTATAGCATTCATTTGAAGAATACTTCTTGACATTTTTTAAGGACATTTCTTTAAATTTTTCAGTTATCTGAGATTGAGTTTTCCCACTGCTGCACATCTCTTTACGTAAGCTGCAGTTTCAAAAAGAGCTGATCTTATCTGCTTTCTAGCTGCCACCAAGAAGGAAGTCTCGGTTTTGCTTTCTACTGTACAACTCTGCCCCTTTATGATGGCTCTAGACCCTTCAGTGAGCTGCTCAAGTCACAAAACAATCAAAAGTATTTTCCCTGCCTTGTTCACAAGCTGAACTGGTTCATGTAGAGGTCTGAAAGGCATCAGAGCTAGCACTAGGTGATCAGCAGAGTACACAGCTATAAGTGGAAAAAGTCAGAAAAGACAGAAGGGATTTTTCCCTAAAGGTGGTGGTTTCCTTGGTCTAGATTATCTTGTGAAATCACAGCCTTGTCCTCACAGGACTTTCTTTCCAGACACTCTCCTTCTACTGCAGGAATAGACAGGGATGCTTTCATGCCAGCTCCTTGTGGTCTTTCATGTTTCTCTAATAACAAATAAGCATTCTCTAGCAGGACACAAGGGTAGCTCTCTGTCTATAATTAGTTCTAATCCTTCCATCTGCAAGGACAGCAGGTTTTGAAGGAGGAATAAAGAAAAAAGACATTTATTATGAATAATGGACAGACAGGCAGACACACTCTTTGAAATTTCTCAAGAGTTCCCTTAAAAAGACTGAAGGTTTTGTAAAAGAATGTATTATACTTTAAACTGAAAAAAAAAGACATTAAAGACATTTACTTACAAAAGTTCACGAAAATAATAGCAATTTGTCTTGTTACTTTCAGAGTACAGAAAATATCCAGCAGTATTGATGATCATCTATTGCAACAGTCAATGATGTAGGAACTTCCCAAAAACTAACCTGGAGCAACCACGTTGACTCGAATTTGCTTTTTTGCTACTTCTTTAGCAAGAGAGCGTGAAAATCCAACTAATCCTGCTTTGGTAGCGCTGTATACACTTTGACCAGAGTTCCCTTTAAGTCCGACAATACTTCCTGAAATAAAGAAACATCAAAGAGAAGAAAAAAATTAAATTACTAATTTGAAACCTTGCACTAGCTTTATCATTTTAGTTTTTGATGTGGATTGGAAAATGAGATTAAAAGAAAAGGAATTAGAAGTATATTACTAAATGTACTTTATAACCTCCTGCTGGGATAAAAAAAATCCATAAATTATCTGTGATTTTTGTGGAATTCATGTATCTATGTTGACCAACAGGTGCCAGGAGGGCAAAAAGAAGAGCTTTCTAAAAAAATATCCTTGCACAGGAAAAAAAAAAAAAAGAAACCAATTTGATTCTTAGTTAATAACTAGCAGCTGGTAGATTTACATACTGAAAGAGCTGATGAAGAATGGTGAAATTATTTTTTTCAATAAAATACTCTGGGGTGTTTATTACTGAAACAAACTGGTTCTGCATTTAGAAGTTGCTGAAATTACACAAAAGAATATGCATTCATAAAGAAATACTAAATAGAGAATGTCTAAACACAAAGAAAATCATCAATTTACACCTGCTAAACCTTTCCAGAGAACTATTACACAGAATTCCACTGGATTACACAAGCAACTTACCTATATTGACAATAGCACCTCCTTGTTGTTGAATCATACTTTTTACAGCAGCTTTGCATGTCAACATTGTTCCCAAAAGGTTAGTGTGAATCTGGGCTATCATATCTTCAGTCTTGGTTCTCAGTAACAAACCATCCCTGACAAACAGACCAAAAACCCCAAAAGAACTCACTGAACAACCCAAATGATCACATTTACTCATAATAAAACATGACTGGTGAATGGAATATTAATGGGAATTTATATGGTTCTACACATTCTAGCATTCAAAATGATGACATTGCAAGGATGACACATAGCAAGAAAAAATTTAGCTATGCTTCTGGCAACAAAGCCTCCTTTGCAGAGAGGTATCAAGCATTGGTTTGGACTATTTCAGGGTGAAGAAGTGGAAGAAAGAGGAGTAGAGCGGGAACTCAAACTCAGAATGCAGAAACTACAGTGAAAGCTGTATAATATTAGAATTTTACCTTCATCAGGAAAAAAATATTGGTGAGTGCTTAATACTGTTGTTCGAGAATATCTAAGGAACCTGAAGGTG